ATCCTGGCCCTTACGATGTTAGCCAAATTCAGAAAACACAGCTGCACACTCACTGAACACAGCGATACTCCTCTGCTGTTTTAAATAAACCATTGACTTAGTAGGGCCCTTGCCTACAAGATCCACCACCTGACAAGAAAATATGACTCACTGACGGAACAGCCTCTCTCAGAGGTCACAAAATCTAGCGGAGTGCTGCATTCATCCAACAGAATGATGGTAAATTGTTAAGATCCCACGGAATTGGGGATTCTTCAAAACTGAGTGAATTTAGGTCATTTTTCGTGGCCACAGCGCACACTCTCCTTAGATTGAATTATACTTTTAAAAATACTCATGAGCCATTGCTAGTGGTCTATTTACATGATCAGGCTATTGGGCCACCCAAGACAGAACTATTAAATACACACACTTTTCTGAGACACCCCCTGCCCAAGGAAATAGGTATGACAACTTACTAACAAACTCAATCCTTATTTTTCACATGTATATGCCCACAAGAACGAACTAAATCTAAAGGAAAATACGTCATACGGAAAAGCCAATCAAGAATGTTTCACCATCATCTCCATTATAGTCTTGGGTCCCTGGTTGTTTACAAGTTATAGGCTGCCCTATCCTGCAAGGGCCCCTCTGTATTGGTTGAACTCCAAAGCATCTTGGAACCATTTTTATTTCAAATCAATTGAAAGATCATTTCAAAAGAAATAACATATTTCCCTTCTTTTTTCGCCCCCTGTTTTGACCTCAGTGAATTGGTGGACACAACATTTGGCTCATTTAAAAGATGGACACTGTCTTTGCATCAGATGGTTCTGCAAACATCCTTTTATGATCCTACAGGTAATTTTAACGGCAACATAGTAACTTTGGGGTCCCTGATGTACTTATCACTCCAGAGAAATGACAATCTGGATCCTCTCCACGAAAGAATAACAGATCTCAGTTTGTCAAATGTGAACATGTCTGACCCTGGGAAATGGTTGGAGGGGGGATAGCAAGGGAGATGACAAATAAATTTCTCTTTCTTATTGAAGATACTGAACAGACATTCCAAAACAGCACTTTTTGGCTGTCCAGGAAGCAGAGCTTATAATGTGAATTTATTAAAATGCTGTTTCTTCACCCTCATCTAACCTAGCTGGGAACATTACTGATATCCTTCTCCCAGGCAACACTGTTATGATCAGGACCAGGTGTCAGCCAGAGCTAATGAAGAGACATATTAATGAGAGTCCAAGAACAAGATGTAAATAGAGAAGAAACAAATCTTTGTTTTTGGATGGCCCTTGTGGCTCCATCCTTCTCCCTTTTGGTAGTTTGGAAGAGCTGGCTCACCAGGACTGTTCAATGGAAAAGCAGCTCTCATTTATACCAGCTATGTTAGTATACAAAGTACCTACTCTTTCAGGTGCTCCTTTTTTCTAACAAGGCCATTGCCTCAACCAGGAATCTCTCAGTGTTACATGGTTGACTAGGTGTTCTCTATCCCCTCCCAACTTTCCTATAATTTTGACAAGTGTTATGTGAGGAGAAAGTCCCTCTCAGGGGCACTTTTCATGGTAAATCCAACTGTACTCACTCCAAGCACACCACTCCATGGAATAATGATAGCTCGGGGGTTATTGTACCCTCTACTGTTTCTTAGTTTTTAAAGTTTCCTCTATAAAATCTACCTTATGCTTACAATTTGGATCACTATTAATATGTTCCTTGCACAACAGTTAACAGGAAATTATGAAATCTCCTCTAGAGTTTCTAATGATGTCCATTTGTAGAAGTTTATTCTCGTAAAAACTGAAAAGAGACAAAATATTTTAATAGCTTTTTATTTCATAATTAGATAATCCCTTTTCTTGATAGATAATACCTTCTTTGACCACCCAATCTAAATTATCGTTCCTTGTGACTCCCTATCAGTCACATATTATTAGCTTCAATTATTATTCTCTAAAATTGCCTTGTTTATATATTTTCACTTGTTTATTGCCTGTCTGTCCCACTATAATGTGAACATCACAAAAGAAGAGATCTCATTTGTGTTATTTATTAGTAAAACTCAATGCCCAGAACAGTATCTGGCATATGAAGGTAGTAAAAATATTTATGGAATGAATGAATTTGGTGAATAAATAAATTAGCAAATTTAATAATCAATCACCTAATCTACGGAGAAAATATGCACACATATTAATACACTTTCTGTTTTGTACAGATGTCTTTGTGCTTTATAGCAAACTTAATTAGTGTTAGGGGGAAAAGTCCAAAAAAAAAAGGATTTAGAAAGAATTAGGTTGGATGTGTAACTCTTAAAAATAAAACACCAAGAAACAGCTTACATATTCATTTCTAAAATGTGTGTTTCAATGCTGTAAAACATTTAAGAAAAGCTAACAAAGCGTATGATGTGAAACACTAAATTATTAATATCTATTGTGTTTGATTAAATATTTGCCAGTAATTCCCTAAGCCAAAATAAATTGGTAAATGTTGTAAAGCGCAGAAAAAAAATGTACTTTATTGTAAGCAATACCATGTGTCTGCTCAGGTGGGATCTCCTTACTTCGCTCCCATCCACTCTCTGAAGGTTTGGGAGACTTTTCCAAAGTATCTCAGAAATTCTATTAGGATCTAAGAAGTAACCCAAAATGAAGTTTGATGAATAATATTGTGCCATGTGCTTAATAGTTTGAATTTTTTATTATATTTAGCAATATTCAACCTAAAGCTGTTAAGGGCAATTCTATAAAACCTAGAAAGCTGAAACAACATCATTCTCCTCAACATCCCATCATTCTCCTCAGTCTAGACTCCCCCCAAAAAAAGAACTACTGGCCTTTCCCTGGCACACTGTGTAGATTCTAAACACTCTCATCTTTACTTCAACAGTTCAGTCCACCTGTAACACCTTTTCCTCACATTCCCCTGTTAAAATGCAACCCAACTATCTTTCTTAAATTAAATGCTATGTTATTCTCAATCCAACCAGAAACAACTTTTCCTCCTTTTTGATGCAGCTTCTTGGTACCTTTTTAGAGAATGCCTCTTCCACATTACACTTTACTTATTTTTGCACATCTTGTCTGCCTTACTAGAATGTTAATGCATTGAGGGCAAGGACCACACAGCTGTCATCTTTCTACTTCTCATAATACCTAGTAAAGTGCCTTGCATGGCATGGACACTCAGTCCATGTTTCCTTATTGAACTAAATTGAATTGACATGAATTGAAATAATCTTTCTCTTGAAGTTAGGGAACATTACATCAATTAACAGTTCTAGAAAAAAGCCATTTAAGAGGAATTACTTGATATTAATTCTATGATCTTTTCCTGCTCTTGATGTCACATATTCCCTTTCATCCTCAGTCTGCTGTTCCCATCCAACTCTCTTTCCGTTCTTCCACTTCCTCTTAGCACTCTTAAATGTGACATCAGCGAAGTAGAATGGGGTCTGGCAGGAGCAACAACTCACAGTAACACTATCACAACCCCTCCTCAAAATCTTTCCTAAAGTTCATAGAAAGTAACTAAGACTGCCTTACTATGTTGTCATAGAGACTAGAGATTCTCTTTAAAATACTTTGTTTCAGCCAATGTTTCTACTTTATGAGGTCACAAAATATACGAACAGCCTATCAAATTCATCAGCAGCAACTAAACGTTCAACATTAAAAAAACTTATATGAAAAATTATCACTTCATGTTCTTCAGGATGATAAATTATTGGCTTTCCGGATTTTTAAGGCCTATACTTCACTATGTTTCCATAGAAAAACTATGGTAGTATGTCATTCTCTACCATAATCTTAATATCAATATGAGTATCATTCTTTATCTGTTTCTACACAGTTCATAAGCTAGTTAAATTTCCATTAAAGTTGAAGATAAATATTAATACTTTTTCTTCTACCTTCCCAAATATTCATAATATTGACCATATGACCAGACATATTCATAAGGTAACAGAATAAATGACAAGAAATCTACCGACAATCAGTTTGCAAAGCAGCAAATACATAAAACAAGGTCTAATTTTCTCCTACGATATTAAAAACATATACTTTTAAAAATATAAGTAATCATTGCAGACATTAAAAATGGACCTTTTCAAAACTTCTGGCCATTTATCATTACATATATTACATAATTATTGCTAATTTATCTGGGTCAATAATCTAAAAATATTAAAAATAGTAATGAAGCAGAGAAATGCATAGTTCTAGGCCATTCTTTCCTCTTTTCTGTATGGCAATCAAAGTCAAAATTTTACATCTTAAGCTGCATATAATTAAGGAATAAATGCCTCATGGACATTTAATTTGAGTTCTCAATAATTCAAGTTATGATTGATAGGAAACACTGACACAGTTTATTCTCATTGGATAGCAACCTAAGTCTTACTGACAGAACTTGCTGCTCCAATAAGATATCTGGTTCAGGCTTTCTGTTGCCTGGCTGTTCTGTGAATGGGTCTGTGAATCAATCATAATATATTAATCAAACACACTCACTAGTGAAAATGATGAGATTTAATTGGATGAATAGATCAACTCAATTATTTATGTGCACATATATGCATATATATATATAAAGTGACTGAGCAAAAATGAAAGGCAAAATAAATTTTTAAGTGATTTTATTTATTAAGGTCATGCCTCTGAATGATGATAACGAACTTCAAAGTAAGGGTCAGTTCCTCACTATCTGGAAGTTTAATTGCTGTTGTCAGGAGAAAAATGTGGGTTTGTACACTAGACCTTGCCCTTAATTTAAACTTTCCATTTAAAAATTTTGTTTGACAGCATCTAAAACGTTGATCTTTGACAACATCTAAAGTTTCAAACATTTTCTATTTAAAATTAGTTTCAAAGATAAGAATGCAATATTGTAAGCAAAGATACAAATAAAGGAGTTTTATGATACTGAATTTAGAGTGGTTATTTTTACCATTTAGGTGTGCGAGCTGATAAAGAATAAATTTTTTAAAAATGTTTTACCTTTTTTCAGTAGGACTTCCATTTTGGACAACTGAGATCTGTGATAAAGATAAAACAAAATTTAAGTATAACAAATATGCACACAAAATGATTACATAAAATCATTTAGAAAAATATCCTTCAAAGCAGTTTTTTAAAATATGATAATTTTGTAAGATTAAGGTATCAAAAAAGCTAAGAAATTACCATCTTTAGCATTGGAAGAGACATTGTAGAAGAGGAAATGCTAGCAAAATTACATTTCTTTTTTATTAGTAAATAGATATTTACTGGTAGATATTAATTAACGTTTACATTTTGGTTAGAGAACATCGAATTCATTGTTTTATTTATTATTTTGTTCATCTTTGTTTTTAAGAAACGATCAGGTTTTTTCTGGAAAATAAAACCTACATACCAGCTTTGGAAGGCAGGATACTACATAGTAGTATATTTTCCAGAGAAAGACATCACTATTCTTTGAGATAAAAAGATCACCATTCATATCAAAATTGAACCATAGTAGAAGGTAGGTCAACTCCAAAATTATATTTCTAAATGAGAGCAAGGAGGGTTTTACACTTCTTAGTAAATAAAAATTATTTTAAACTTATCTATTACACAATTATTTAATCTTTTTAATTCTCTTTTTGAAGCATTTCTACTTCAAATGCCAATAGTATGCCATATACTAATATGGCAGTACTAACACACAGTATACTAATATGGTAGTACTTTTTTCTTAATTTACAAATTTTTTAAAAGTATACTGAGATTGCCTGTTCCATATACATTTAGTGAGGTGTGTGATGGAAAATACCAGGAAACCAGTGACCTCAAGAGTGTGATTTTATTAATAGCTTACCTCTTGGGAAGATAACAGATACTTTCCTATAGCACAAATGTTGAATTTAGATTTTATCCCAGGCCTGAATTTTATTAACTCAGTTTTTTTAATTCACAGATTAGCTGGCTTTATCCATACCTACCTATGGCAAAGACTTCCAGAGGTTTACCAAACTAATTTTCTTTTCGTCTTAGGCACATTACAATCTATATTTCTAAGTCCCTCCTGCAGTCATATGTGGCAAATGAAATACAAGAGAAAATGACATGCACCGTTTCCAGCCTGGTCAATGAAAATAACTCATATTTGGTCTTTCATGTTTATGCCCAGTGTGTCTCAGGAAGCCAAATGTAAGATGACAAAGCCTCCATATGCCAGGATTCCTGAGTGACATTGTGGAGCAGGATGCCCTAACACAAACACTGACCCTGAACTTCCTGGGATCATTTACACGAAGAAATAAGCTTCTGGTATAATGGTGTGAGCCATTATACATTTTGGGCCCATACGTCACAAGAGTTAGCCTATATATTAACTAATATACCACCAAGGGTTTTCATATGGCCTACGCAGACAACTAGGACAGAGCTAAATGATGCTGAAACCTAACATTCACATAGTGCTTTACTACATACAAAAGCAGTTCATAAACATTCATTCTACCCAAGGAGCATTTTTATAATGTATTATCAACTTCCATTAATTAAAGGGTTATAGAAAATGATGCTTAGTTCCTGACACATAGAAATAATAATAGGTCTTACCCCTCCCCTTAATTTAAAAAAATCTATTACTCTAATAAACCACTTTAAAAACAGGTTCAAAAACTAAAAGGAACTACTTCTTAAACATGTTGTTAAGATGTATATATGACAGCCCTTTTGTGTAATGTAACCTGGGTCTAGTAGTAGCAGTTCCAAATATTTTTCCTTTACTCCTTTTAGATTTTAGGTTGGCTTCCCTGTGAAGGGCAGACCCAAGAGCACAGAGAGCTTCCCGCCTCATTTGAGAAAGCCCCCTCTTGATGTTAGCAATATCACCGCTCCACAGCCAAATTAGGTCACTATAATACCTACAAGAGCTATATCAGTGAAAGAAATGAAATAATTTATAGTTAGAATATATAAGACCTTATTAATTATGGAATCAATAAAAGTGAAGAATCCATCTGCCTCGCTGATGCACAACTATTTTTTTAAAAACACAGATCTTACATGTTACTCCTTTACCTAAAAACTTACAGCAGTTTTTCCTTTTCTGAAACTTGAAGAACAAACTTCTTAATTTAGCATTCACTTTAGGAGTTTTCACAATCTCATACCAATCTACTTGTAGTAGGCAGTCTCTAAAATGGCTCCTGGTGATCCCCGTCTTATGGTATTCGTGCCTGTAGTATCTCCTTCCCTTGTGTGTGGGCTGGCTCTAGTGACTACTTCCACTTCCAATAAATAGGTTATGACAAAAGTGATGAGATGCCACTTCTGAGATTAGGTTCTACCTCCCAGCCTCCCTCCCTCCCTCTCTCCCTGTTTCTGCCCTTGCTTCCATGTTGTAAGTAGCCTTATGGATAGACCGCATGACAAGGAACTGATGTCTCCAACCAACAGCCAGCAAGCACCTAAAAATAGTTACATGAGTATATAAGTGAGCTTGGAAGTAGGTTCTCCTCCAGTTGGGTCTTGAGATAAATGCAGCCAAGGCCAACACTGACAAAGATTCTTTGAAAATAGAATTTTACCACTTTAAGTATCGCCCAGCTCTGTTTTTTCTTTGACAGTTATGGTGCAGCAACTTGGATAGGATCAGATTCACATTTGGATCCTCAGACCACTCACCCACAACTCTAAGTACACACCTTTGAAGCCTGTGTCTTCACTCCTGACTGACTGATCGGGCCTTCCTTGGTGAATCCACTCCTAAACCATTGCTCCACTGAAGCTAGTAGGGACAGATTTTGATTCTTAAGATTCTGAGTATACTCTAGAATCTGATTGGAGACTCAGATAAACAGAAGCTGGGTTAGAGTCCTAGGTTTCTCTGTTTGTAAGAAGCTGGGTCAGAGTCCCTAGCAAACAGGCTAGATTGGAGTCCCAGACTGCTTTGTTTATAAGAGGCTAGTCTCTATAAAGAACAGAAGCTATGATAGAGTCCCAAGTTTTATGTTTAAGTGTAAAGGTACCACTAGTTAAGAACATGGGAGGTTCTCAACTGACTGAAACTCTCTTGTTGAACTCCTGCTGACATTATGCCCACCAACTATGTCTGCTTCCTTTCTTGTTGGCATTATTTCACTAAGGATAATATGGAACTTCAATGGCTTCTTTGGGAAACTTAAGATCTCTCCCAAACTGCCTGCTCTAATACCCCTCCCTTCCCATCACCTCTGCTCCTCCTTCCTCCTTTTACCACCTTCAATCCTCATTCCAGTTCTCTTGAATCCTTTGATATGTCCCCCTTCAACCTCCTACCTCCTCCATCCCTCTATCCACCCTGCCAGACTTTTCCCTTCCCACTTCAGCCCCTCATTTCCCTACAGCCACTTGAAATTTAGGTCTCCTATCCTCAATCAAGGGCTCTCAAGAGACTCAAGGACCTCCAAAAGCAACTATCTGAGGCTAAAAAGAGAGACAGAGGCTATGTGGAAACAGAATTGGATGTTTTGTCCACTCACATGAGCTATGAAGACAACCAGATAGCTGCTAGATATTTCCTCAGTCACTTCCCAAAAATTAGTCCACAGCCTCCAGAAGATTACATATCAAGGCAAAAGAAAAATCTTAAACGTCTCCTCCACAAATATTGGTGAACAGGTAATCTTAACTTGTCCCATTTGTCAGAAACATAATTTAAATAAAAATATACAGTGGAAAAAAGATGAGAGCTAACTTTTTTACATAAACCAGTGAGTTTGTATTACTATGTGTTACTGACTCATGGCTAAAATTTTAGAATGAAAGCTATAAGATCTCTGTTTGCATCTGTATGTATGTTTATTTATATGTACATGTATGTATGTTATATATGTGTGACCTTTTTTACCTCTAGATGATATTACCAAATTAATTTATAAAAATCTCTTAAAGGAGTTTTATTCACATAGGCTTAGAGACAAATGAGTGCTTATATAAATTAAGTATTCCTAAAACTCTCAGAAATACAGAAACTAACCTAAATGTTTTTTAAGTTCATATGGTCTAGAATAATCTTTGGTGAATAAAGCTAGTTTTCAAATTGTTGTTAAAATAAAAACAGGCATGTCTTCAGAGTTGTCAGCATTAAATATAATGCAGACATAGAATTTTTTTCTACCTAAGTTTACTAGTCAAACAAGCTTAGGTTATACGTACTAAATGTTTACAATTATAGAACTATAAATCGAACCTAAGGACAAAACGTACAATAAAAATGAATTGCTTGACACATGACAAGCACAGCAGTTAAAAGAAAAACAGGGAAGGACCATATGTTTAACTTTTAGGTTCTTCGATTGTGTGATATTGTTGATACTTACCTGATGTGTTAAGAAGAAAAATAACAACATGAGTACTAGCTTTGTAAAATAGCTCATGAAATTTTCATGAGTAATTCAAGGATAATTGTTAAGAACAAGTAAATTAACTAGATGTAAGTGGAATTAAAGTTTGTAAATTAACTTTTCAACAACAATTATGTTTTATAATATATCTACTTAAAAATAGTTTCAAAAATATTTTTAGTAACTTGAAACCTTAAATCTATAATAAATTAAGTTAAATGATGGATATTAGTTGACTATGTAGATGACTTCCAAATAAGATAAAACACTGAAACATTAATTGTTGAACATAAGTTTATCTACTTTTGGCCTCTTCCTTTAATACAGTATAGAGAAGCTAAATATATTTTTGTCTTTTAATAAACATGAGAAATAACAAATATGAAAAGGACATATGTCTCTATAAAAGGAAATGATGTGTTCATAAATTTGCTGCAAAATGATAGTATATGGCTGACGGTTCACATTTGCTTACTACCTGGTTTTCTCTGTAAAAGAAAGGTTGCTAATGGTTAAAAATACTAATCAATGTATATAAAATAAAAATACTAGGAATAATAAAGGTAAAAGAAAAAAACTCCATATGAAAGGCAAGTAAGATGTGTTTTTGATAAGGAAATGACATTTTTTTTGGTTGACAGACAAAGTAATTTTGTCCTAAAATAGAATGTCTGGTT